CAATGTTTACAATGACGCTTTCCCCTCTAATAACATGTAACATCTGCCCATTTATTTAGGTTAGCTTTCAAATTGTCCAGGTAAAGGTTCTTCTTCATAAAGTTTTTCTGCATTTGTTCCATTTTTAAACATCTTCTAGTTCTGTTGCTCTTGGGAATCAAATCTAACTTTTCTGGAGGAGTAATTACAAACTATTTGATTATTAGTGACAGTATACATCTTTCCACATGTTTAACAAATTATACTTCTATCCAGTGAACTGTCCACATCCTGTAACCACTTGTGTGTGGACTTTTATTTTCCTCACTGATCTGAGTTCCTTACATGTTGAAGATATTAAGCCTTCACTTACGTTTGTCATAAATATTTTCCTACTTTGTGGTCTGGCTTCTAATCTTAGGGTTTTGTTCTTCCTCTCTTCTTAAAGAAATTTTAAATTTTTTGTAGTCTAATATACTGATTTTTAAACTAATAACAGATCCGAGTACCCCAGAAGTGCCAGGACCTAGACCTCTTTCCCTCACAACACCTGCACAGAAGGTATTATTTTCCTCACTTAGAAGATTCTAGTTCAGGTCTATCTGATTGCAAAGTCCTTGCTCTGCCCACCTCAACACACAAAACCCTCTCTTCCAGATGTTTAATGTCTACTTCCACATTTTATTTATGATTTAACGGGTATTCTTGCTGATTTATCATTTACTGTATTCCCATACATATTTCTGGGGTGCTGAATAGGCTCCAGAGACCTGTAGAGATATTTTAAAGCCAGCATGACACTGTTTTGAATGGGGTTCTATAACATGTTTAATATCAGATAGGATTTGTCCCACCTCATTTCTCATAATTCTGTCCAGTTCATCCCAAAATGGATAGCTCTGTAATGTTTAAACATCACATCCAGGAACATGGCCTGTTTTCTCATTTAAGACATTCTTTCTTATCTTTCAGGATAGTTTATGGTGTCCTCCATGCAGACTGCACTTGTCTCAATAGAGCTGTACTTACAAGTTTTATGTTTTTTTGCATTGTGATCAGAGCCTGTTTTTTGGTTGGCTTTTTTCTTTTCCATTTTAGTTTCTGCCAGGTTATTTTTGGTATTCAGAAAGCTATGAATTTCATATATGCATCATGTACCCAGTCATTTCCTCAATTTTTCTTTGTATAATAGTTTTTTGTTGTTGTTGTTGTTATTCTCATTTTTGTAGCCAATAGCATCTACATATACTTCCCTTCATCTCATTTTGGATCCTTACCTCACTCTTCTTGCATATGTTACTGCTTTAATAAAACTTACAAAATCCATGTTAAATAACTCCCCAATTTTTAATTTGACTCTGATAACTTTCTGTTAAGTATAGTGTGGATAATTACCTTAATATTTCTGTAGGCACAAAGAAGTGCCTACTTTTTAAAAATAAGGATTTTTTTTTTTAAATCAAATATCTATTTTGTTTGTAGTTTAGGTGGCAGTTTGAATTCAATGTGAACTCCAAGGGAAAGATCACCTCTCTTCCAGACAGACTTCTGAAATGGCCTACCTAGTCTCCCCCACTTCCACTCCCCCCACACCACACCCCCACATTCTGCATGCAGCAGCTGGAGCGGCTTTTTAAAAATGCAAATCTGATTATGTCATTCCCCTGCTTCAAACCCAACCCTTGCAATGGTTTCCCGTTTCACTCAGAATAAAATAAAACATCATTAACGTGCCCTACAAGACCCTACATGATCTGGCCCCCTGCCTAGCCACACTTCCCTCTCACCCACCAGAATCTATCCACAAGTCATTCTTTCAGTTCCTGGAATGGGCAAAGCTCTCTCCCCCTTTAGGGCCTTCCCACATGCCATTCCCCTGCCTGGAAAATTATCCCCCATCACTCTACGCTAACGCCTACTCACCCTTCAGATCTCAGCTCAAATCTTATTTTTGCAAAAAAAAAAAAAAAAAGTCTTTCCCAGGCCACCTTTTCACAATCTAAAATTTGCTCCCCTTTTTATACTCTCTCATAACCGGTACTACTTAACTTTCCTAACAGATAACCATTTGTGATTATATGTGCTGTTGCAGGACTGCTTCATTTGTGGTCCCCTCCACCCCCACAGATTATACCTCTAAGAGAACAGGGACAAATTAATTATGCTGGCCACACCACAAGCATTCATATATATTTGAATGAAATAAAAATACCTAAAAAACCCTTAACTGTATCTCTTACATCTTAAAACAATACCCATCATATCATTCAATCAATATTTAAGCTGTTAAAACTCTTTTTGATACTGCCTACAAATTCAGTAAGAATACACTTTACCCCAAGGACATAACAGCTAACCTGCATCTGATGCTGCCACAGGAAAATACATATATAAATTATATCACTAGGAAATGTTTAAATATGAGAGTTTTGTTTTATGCAGCATTCATTTTGCTGATACTTTATTCACAATCAACTAATTTATAGGTCTTATTTTTTAAAGCACATAAAGCACTAGGAAAAATGTGCTTTGTCAAATACTCTTTAAGAAGTCTAATGTATTAACAGTACTTGATAAAAATTACAGCAAAATCACAAACTAAAAAGCATTCAAAGTTGGTGATCTCTATTATTCTGTAACAGACACTTCTGGTCAAAAAAAGTATAAATTACATTGCAAATAAAAAATCCTTTTGGATCACAAAAGCTAACAAAATCAACATTTATATACTACTTTACATTCTGCAAAACACTTTCACATATGTCATATCACTGAACTCTGTGGAGCAGACAGAGTAGGTATTACCAGCATTTATAGGAAAGAAAACTGAGGCTTAGAGTGATTGTCCTCCTCAAGGTCAAAGGACTGGAAAGTACTAGCGTCATAATTACATTGGGGGAGGGGTGGAGGTCCCACATGTAAATTTCTTAACCAAAGAGAACTTCCATCCTAAAGGCCTGTGTCTGTAATTAGTGTAGATTTATGCTCCCTTCCCTGAAATTTCATTTCACCAGAGAACCACCACCGAAAGAGCTGCTTTAAATATGAAGCTAAAATTTAAATTGCCACCAATCTGGGAAATAAACTATGGTATACCCAAACTATGGAACATGATGAGCAGTTCTTCAAAACGAGGTAAGGCATTACATGCTGAAACTGAAAGATAAGAGTACACTAGTACTTGTTAAAACAAAGATAATACAAGTACACACACGGGGAAAACATTTTAAAAGATCTAGAAGAATACACATGGAACATAGAATAATTATCATCTCTGGAGACAGGGGTTGGTAGAGAAAGACTTCAGCCATGTCTGTGATGTTTTAATTTTTACAAAGAAAATATATTACTTTACCTATTTAAAACTAATTTTTAAAAATTTAAATTAACCTGTGGTTTGAACAAAAATGTCATTTTTCTGCTCTAAAAGCTATGCATCCATAAAGGAAATCGGGGCCTCTCTAAAAGAGAAGACAAATATATTTAAAAAACGCTTCAATCCTGTTAAAACAATAAACCATCTAAATGTCACAAAACGTTCCTCTAAAAAAGCAGTAACTTAAATTATTTTTTAATACCTAGTCTCCTTTGTTGCAGTAAGACAACCAGTAAACAAACTAGCCACTGGAAGAGTACAGAGCAGGCTCCTCCTAGAGAGATTTAGTTGTTAGAGTTCGGCAAGGAAGGTTTCACAAAGGAGCCGAGTTTTGAGGGAAATGAGAGGTGACTTGGCAGAGAGATGCGGGAAGATTAATCCAGATGGGAAAATGTCTGGGAGGTGGATATACTGAGTTAATCGGAAGCGGGGGACAGTAAGCAAACTGAAGTCAAGTCCTGAAAGAGGAGAGGATTCCTTTGGATGTGGGAGCTGAGAGGGAGCTCGGCTGCGCGGCCATCCAGTTTACCTGGGTGAGAATCCGGCCCTTGTTGTGGTCAAACAATGGAGGCGTCCAGCGGCAGCGGCGTTCTGCGCTGGGTGCGCGGAAGGCTCCTCATCACCTGAGTAGGATGCTCGGCGGGCTCTGCTGGGACGCAGGGCGCTCTAAAACACACAACATCACACCATGCAGCCGGGCTTCTCCGCCGCACAGCCCGGCTCCCTGCTCCCCCGGCGCGGCCATTACCGCCTCTCCAGGGACCCGCCTGGAAAGGCTCCAAGGCGCGGCTTCACGGGCTTCCAAAGCGGTTTCGCTCCCCCTTCCCTCGGCTCCAACAACAATGGAGCCCGGCCCGGGAGTCCGGCTCCCGCGGGGCCTCCGCCCGGCCTCGCCCCTGCCGCTGCCCATCCCTCGCCGCGCACCCGGCAGCCATCTGCGACCCCCGCGCCCCGCTCCCGGCACCGCGGGCCCGCGCCGGCCGGCCGGCCGAGGCCCGAAGCCAGGCTGCCCTCCGTGGGGCCTTGCCCGGGGGCCGCCGGGCCGCCCGGCTGCTGGGGGCCGCTCTGACCTTTCCCACCGACGCCCAGGGGCCGGCCCCGGCCCGAGGCCCATCCTAAGAGCTGGGTTGTTTTTCTTTTCTTTAACCCACTCATCCTCCTTCCAACCCCGAGCCCGCTCCCCTTTCGCCGCCGCCCCCGCCTCGTTCCCGAAAAGAAATAGAGAGACTGAGCCCGGCCGCCCGACAACTCACTCCAAGTGAGGGGTTGAAGCGCCCCAGGCCGCGGGCTCCGCGCACCCACCCTCCCTCTCCTCAGGGGACACCTCACAGGTGCGCCTCCGAGCCGCGCGCGCGCGCTCCGCACACCCAGACGCCTCCGGAGGACAGCGCGCGTGCGCACGCACGGGGCCGACGAGCCCCGGGGGAGCGGGGGCCGCACGCATGCGCGCCGTCCGGCCCTCGCCCGGCACCCCCCCCACCGCCCCCGCCCCCGTCGGCTGCCCGCGCGCGCCCTCCCCCCAATCCCAAGCTGGTCCCGGGTACCCGCCCCCCTCGCCAGCCCCCGGCCCTGCGCGCGCGTTCCCGCGCGCCCGCTCGATCCTCCTTCCCCGCCCCACCCGGGCCCGCGTTACCCTGGGTAACCGCAGTGCGGCCGCACCTGAGCTCTGCGCCTGCGTCCCACCGGCCAGACCCTCCCTTCCCCTTGGTTGGGTCCCGTGCCCCGCCCCAGGTGGGGGAGGGGGGCGTTGCCCCCTCCCCGCCAAGTGAGTATCGAGCGGCCTCCCCCGCCCTGCCCGGCAGACAGACCCGCCGCCGCCGCCGCCGCGCCGGCGCCTCAGCCGTCCGCCGGTCCCCACGGCCTGGCCTCGCCACCCCGGCCCCAGGTCCCGGCGTGCACCGCGGCGAACGCTCGGGTGGGAGCCGGCGAGATGCGTTCGGCGGGCGGCGCCCACTGACCTCCCTCGGCCGCCCGGCCGGAGCAGGGCCGGAGCCGGGAGCCAGCCCCGCCCGCCGCCCCGCCCATGGGCCGCCAGCCCCCGCAGCCGCCCGCCCGGAGGACCGCGCCGAGGCGGGGAGCCGCCTGAAGGACCGCGACGGCCGCGCCCGCAGGTGAGGCGGGGCCCGAGGTGTGATCGAGTCCAGCCCGGCTCACCTGGCCGTGCCTCTGGGGAGGCTGTGCGGGCGCCGTGGGGGCGGGGGCACCTGTCGGGACCGGAATTTATTTAGGTTGTTTTAAAAGCCCTCGTTGCAGGGGGGGGGGGTCCTCGCGTCTCACCCCCAGGGCTCGGCGGTGGGGAAGGGTGTCCCCTTGCGGAAACAACGGGGCGGGGGGGGCACGAAAAGGTGGAAAGGAGGGCAAAAGTGAGGCGCAGCGACCCCACGCCGGCTGCCTGCCCCGTTTTCCAGCCGGTTATGGGGAGGGGGGATGCCGTTCCCAGGGCTCCAGTCCAGGCTGCGGACCGTCTGCACCGCGCACCCAAGCCAATCCGATGGGGCAGGAGCGGCCAGCTCAGGGGCTGCTCCGACCAGCCCCGGGGTGAGGTTGTAGGGTGAGGGATCCGCATTGCAGGTGCACCTGGAGCGCCCGAGGGCCTGGCCCTGCTTTGTCTGGGATGCTGCGGGGAGGCGGCCGTCTGAATCCACATCGCCTTTTTAAATGCGTTTTACCATCCTCTGGACGTTAGAGACCCTCCCTGATAAGTTGCCTTGTCTCCTGTCTTGATAACCCTTTACGTAAGTACTCTACCTTACAGCCCTTTTCTGAAGCTTTGATGTAGGCTTTAGATGACCCTGAATAACGATTTGCTTGTAATTCGTGAAACTGAGCATAATGCAAATATGCAGTAGAGCTCTAGGCTTGACTACAGAGCTGCGGTCTACTACAGTGAGTTACTCCAGTTTATCTAACTTACGTTTTCGTGCTGACCTGTATTGTTTAAATTCAAGCTTTGGTATTTAGCAGTATGATCTATTCCAATAATTGAAAATGAGGTCACCTAAGAGGAAATACAGTCGTGCTCCGAAATTTAGGTTGCGGTAATAGGTCTTATTACAAAATACAAGCTCCGAGGCTGTAGTGCTTTAATACATTACGCATTTTCAGAAACCTACCTGTAGGAGTGTTAAAGCTAGAATTGCTGGGTCTTTTTAAATAAGATTTTTAAGTTTGAGATTTATACAAAGAGCATTGTTATTGTTTTATTAAGTGATTTTTTTTTTTTGCACCGTCAATTTGCCTGCATTTTCTTCCCATTGAATTGTAAGGAAAAAGATACTGACATTTAAAGTGATTTTTATCCCCAAAGATGTTTTAAATATATGCATTTGTTTTGGCTAAATGTTTATCTTATGTGAAATGTTTTTGGGAAAAGGTTTTAAGGCTTGTGATATATATGTATATATATGTGTTTACATATACGCATGTATATATATGTGTATGTGTATTTACATGTACATACTATTGAAAAACCTTAAAATAGTTTTTATTGTTTCTCTGCATCATCTTATAATTACTCAGTAAATTTAGGTTAGGTGTATTTAAAATCCAAAATACAAAACAATTACTTGTGTGTATCAGATTTTTATTGTGGTACATGTAAACACATCAATCTAACAGGTTTCTTGGAAAATATTCTTTTTTTTTAAGTGAATCCTTTTGCTTTCATGGAAGATCACTTGGGTTCTTAACTCTTTCATCTGTGATTCATTGGATAAATTCATTTTAATGTCATTACTTAATTGGCGGAGAGCATTTGCAACAATACTGACGTTAACATTGATGCTTTTAAGAAATACTTATAAAGCATTTTCTCATATTTCTAACAAGAAAAGACATGGGGCTTTTTCTTCTATCTTGAACAAGGTCAGCCATAAAAAGTTCCTGATACATAGTGGGCACACATGTTATTAACTAAGATTAATTACATCTACTAGATTGGATATCTTTAAAGGTCAGCGACTAGGTTCCTCTCTATGCTTCACGTTTGACTCAGATTGACATTCCAGGCTAGTTAAGTAGGTGCTAGCTTAATGACACCAATTTTCACTTCTCCAGCTTTGAAATTTAAACCTGCAGAAAGGTTTGGGCAGGGAAGTGAACGTGTTCTAATTGTCTTCAGATATTTAAGGTTTGTCATGTAGCAAAGGGAATGTATGTATTTAGGGTAATTCCCAAGTACAGAAGAGGCCAAGTAGTATTTATAAGAAGACAGATTTCACTTTGACATAAAAGCAAAAGTTTCTTACGATTACAACCTCCAGCAGTGGAAAGAAGGGGCTGCTCCTTCCCCACAGAGTTTCCAGATAAGCCCATTCCCCAACAGGGCAGCAATCTACTAGGAGATAGCACACGGGGTGTGTGAGAGGCCTTCTGAGATGCGGTGTCTAGGGATTCCAGTGGCAGTGGATTGAAGGGCTTTGTGGCTTTTTTTTTTTTTTTTTTTTAAATGCTGGCTTCATAGCTACAGCTGTGGGCATAAGGACTCCCCAGAATGTGGCTGAACCCTTGGAAGATATTTGTACCAGGGTAGAGGCCAGCCTGGTATCAGGGGTGATTTTAATCCTACTTTGCTCTTGTATGGGGTTTTACAGGTAATAAAGCACTCTCACATTCAAAACACTTTTAAAAGACTTTTTTTAATTATACGTGATTTATATTTCTCTCTTTGGCTTTTATTTTCTACGATAAACAATTAAGAGGAAAATTACCCATTTCTATGAAGGCAAGCAGAAGAGGTTTTTTTTTTTTAAAGCTCTTTTTAAAAATGGGATGATGTCAGTCATTGTTTTCAAAGTCAGCAGGTTGTGAAGGTGAATAGATTTTCTTAAATTATTTTTTAAAAGATACTGATTAAGGGCTGATTCTTGTGCTTGCTCTGCATTTTAGTTTCTGTTTATTTCATTACTCAAACATGACTCAAATTTCACAGCAAAAAAAAAAAAAAAATCCAGTCATATCCACCTACAGTAAGTTGCATTGGACATTCTTCCAGTTTGTCTGTGTTGTTTTTAAATATATGTTGGCAGCTGAAGGTAAAACACAGCTGAGAGAAATACAGTTACAATGTGCTGAAAAGATTGGGTGAATTGGAGCTTTGTGTCTGAAGTAGAAGATTTGTCCTATTTGTGCTAAGCCAATCCTGGGAATGATAATTTATCAACAATAGCGATGATGATCTATCCATAATAAGAAAGATTAGGCGGCTCTTGACTGTACGTCACGATACATGTTTTAAATGGGTTGGTGGTGTTAGGACTCTGTCTGTGGCCAAGGAGCAGAGCAGAGCTTCTTGTGAATACCAGAGTACCCAAACGAACTTCCTCTGCACAAGGATTAAGTGGAGCATAATGGTAACGGGCCAATTGAGTTAAAATGGCGTCTGATCCCTCCAATTGAGGAAGAAGTTAGAGGAAAAACCATCCTGAATTAATGTATATGTGTGCTTAATCTTCCAGAAACCCTTTTAGTTCTCCCTTGTTCTTTATTTTTTTAAAAAAATATTTATTTGACAGAGAGAGTCACACAAGCAAGGGGAGTGGGAGAAGGAGAAGCAGGCTTCCCGCAGAGCAGAGAGCCCGATGTGGGGCTCGATCCCAGGACCCTGGGATCATGACCTGAGCCAAAGGCAGACGCTTAATGACTGATCCACCCAGACGCCCGCTCAGGCACCCCCTCTCTTCTGTTCTTTAGCAGATGAGTTTGTCTCATGCTTTTTGTGCCGGTTTATCCACCAACTGAATTTGGGTATGATCGTTTAAATAAGACAAAGACCCAAACTTTAAACACGGAATACATCATTTATTTATACTTTATTCATGAAGGGAAAAGAGAAGAATACCAAGTTCTTCTGGCCAGCCAAAAAATAAAGCCTTAAAAAAAAAAAAAAATCGGAGAGGCTACTTTAAATATTATGACCAGGTCAACAAATTATCAAGTAAGGTACCCAGTTAGAAAGCAGCCTTTTTAGAGGTCAAAGGTTGCCTTTTAGAGCTCCTCACCAGAGTTTCTGAGGCTGTCACACAGCTGTCTAAAAACCTCTTTGTTAATTAAAAAACAGGTGTTTGTGTATTTTATGCAGGTTTCCACACTGGAGAGCAGAATAAGTTATACATCTTTGTGATTATCCCCAGTTTACCATTTTATCAGAAATAACTTTATGAAGCAAGGAATGTCTGCTTCTCTGTAGCTATAAAGGAAGAGGGAATGTGTTTTCTCCTTTTATCCAGATTCTTTCTACTAGCCAAATTCTCAACACTGGGCAGTGGAATTCCTTTGGTTAGCACCAAACAAAAGAGCAAGACTGAAATGCTTGAAGCTGACAGTAAAGGAGAGGGAAAAAAAAAACAGAAGAGCACTTTTAACAAATGGAATTTGAGGCATATAGTACTCTGCTGCTACAGTTTCTTTCTTTGTTGCCTCCTTGGTGACACTTAAGATGTGAAATTTAGACCTGCATAAGATCCACTACTTTTGCTCATCAGATTTCCTTCCCAACCTATTTCTAAATGCACCGTATGCCCATTTTATTTACTATAGGTAAGGGGGTTTATGAGGCATGCTTTTAAGCCCAATTTCTTACATAAAATTGCTTAAGCATCACTGCTACATACAAATTATAATTTTCTGTATTATTACAATTCTGTTTTTCTTGAAGTTGCACATTTTACCTAGCAGTGCATGGCATTATACTCTGAAAGGGCTATCTGTTATGTTGGAGAGTATTCGTAAAAATACTGGTTCCCCAAGTTACAGTCCATCACTGTGTAGAAAATAATCCAGGATTGCCATATTTTTCTCTTGGCTTCTTACCTAGTGTTCTCAGGATGAACAAGTGTAGGTGGTTAGGCTCATGTCATACCCCGAACAGTGAAGACTCTCTTAACCCCTTTCCTCCACTGTCACACCTGTCAACCCAAGTGAAAGGCACTGGTGTTATTTCTCCTCCAGTGGCTTGTGGTATGTGGGAGCAGATCCAGTTTTGTTTTGTTTTAAGATTTATTCATTTGAGAGAGTGAGTATGAGCATGAGTAGGGGGAAGGGCAGAAGAAGAGAATCTTCAAGCAGACTCTCCACTGAGCGTGGAGCTCAACTCAGGGCTTGATCCCACAACCCATGAGATCATGACCTGAGCCAAAACCAAGAGTTGGAGGCTTAAACAACTAAGCCACCCAGGCGCCCCCAGATTCAGTTTTTAGAAATATTTGTTTGCACATTGGTAAGAAAGATGGAGAAAGGTTGGTTGGTTGTTCACTTTTATGTTCCCATAGACAAATATATAACAGGAGTTATTGGTATGGTCTATTCAAGGAGGGATCAGTCTTTGTCTTCAGCAATGAATCATCTTTATGTTTTGGTTCAGTCCTGGTGTCCAGACCAGAAAGTTTAGCCAGTGAGGTACTTGCTCACTGACCTGCCCTATTGCACTGCCCCAGGGGAGAGGGGAACACAGTCTTGTTTGATAGGGAGAAAGGATATGTAATCCTCCTCAGCCCCTGTGATGGGTTTCAAGTGAAGAATTCATTCCCATCAAGAAAGTGGTCAAGTCAGTTTTTGACAGAGGTTTATCAGTATAGTGAAGCTGTGGTATTAGGACCTGGTTCAGAGATGAGCAAAGCCAAATCTTGTTGAGGGCAAAGGCTGATGGGTTTTTTTGTTTGTTTGTTTTGGTTTTTGGTTTTTTTTAAGGAGGAGACAAAATAAAAGTCTAAGTTGGAACAAGTAAAGCCAGAGGTGA